TAGTTGAGAGGGAGTATAATCATGATATTTGACAGAGAAAATTGTTTTCTCATCAAATGTTCATGCATTTATTTCATGGAAAATAATTTGTATTTGTGAAGTATGGTTCTGTGTTCAGAAAATGTTTTTTTTATACCCCCAAATATATTTTTCTTAACCACAGCAACTATCTCCGTTTTTTCTTTTGTTCTAAAACATACTTTTATATAAATCCTAAAGATAATCGAATGTTTCCTTTGATATTTAACATAAAAACCCAAAAATGTTCCGAATGGACATACTGATGTCATGAACGTGTCCCATTGGTCAATTTTGTTTACCGGGTCGGGAGGATTTGCACCCGGCCTGCAGCAGCAGCAAAGTTCGATAACTCATACGAACAAAACATTGTGGCAAAAGTCATTCAAATATCCAATGATTTCCGCTGGCTGCTCTTGTTATTTTGTTGAAACCTTGGTTACCAATCGCTAGATGAAGGTCCAGGCTACCAAAATCCGAGTGATCCCTGTTCGCGGCGAAGTGATATCACGGTAAAAAAACACTGTTTTGCAAATTTATATTTTTTACAGTGTGATCCCTATACTTTTTGAAAAGAGATCACTCAGTTTCAAAAACTAGACTATATTTCCTAAATTTTAAGCCATTAATGGTAAAAATTGGTCCAGTAATAGCCAGCGGATTTAATTCTGAACTTGGCACACTTGTTGACACATAAATCAACATGGCGGCCGAATTTTTGGAAACGACTTCACTTCGAACTCCATGCAATGGTAGGAATTTATATCTTATTACAAAATGATTACCAAAATAAGAAAATATAAGTCTTGAACTTTATTTTGATATATTTTTATCCCCCAACTACGCTTATTTGATATTTTAATTTTAGTGTGAAAAACCCGAAAAAATGGGGTTTTTTGCTCCAACAGAACGTAATAAGCCTGTAAATGACCGTCGCCGACCTCCCTACCAGGACTGAAATATCAGTCCCAAAACTCACTGAACACCGAATGTCACATAATCTTGTCATTACCTACGTCTAAACATATGTACAGTTTGAGTGCAGGAAGTATGAACGCTTTGAATATTTATATTCCCCATCCATTTTTCATGTTATATTTGATCCTGTCAAATTTCCTGTTTTACTGTCGTGTACAAAATAGAAAGAAAACACTTTAATAAGTAGAGTATTTTTTATTTTCCATATTTATTACAGTAGTGTATATCTGTATTATTAAGACTTCTCATATAATACGCTCATAGTGCATGAGAGCGATATCACTATTTAGCTAGAAGGCTTCACATTTAACTGTGGTGCCAGGGTGTGGGACCTGCCAAGCAGGCTTTATGTGCATGCGACGCCATGTTCAGTCCATGACTTGCGACTACATTTCATATTGTTACAACCGTGTGGCTTTGTGAATGTAGTTGGCAGGCGATGGAAATTAACCGAAGTTTTTACAATTATGATTTGGCATGGTTACTTACCATATAATTGCTGAAATGAAATTGTGGATGCAAAAACGTCCAGTTCACGTAGTTCCCTGCCAGCATACGACCTTCACCCCCGATAAAATTCGCAAATAAATAATGCTTTTTCAAGATATTGTAGGTATAGATAAAAATAACTTAATCAATTTGGATAAAAACTTGAATATTAATACTGGAGACTTCTGTAATCACAAGATGGTATTTACAATGTACGTAAAAAAATATATATATAAATAATGCTACTTTATAAGAAACTAACGCATAGGTAGCTAAATTCTGGAAAGGTTAAGATTCTTTTCCGGATTAATTTACATTTTCAAAAAAAATATATTTGTTTGCGTTTATCTCTTAAAATGATAATAACCGAAAGCGCTATGAAATAAGCAATAACTTAAGAGTGTTATTTATTGTACGACTGTGAAAATATTTTAAATTTCATTTCCGGAAACAAATATTCGTTTTTATTTTGTTGTTATACTTCCTGCAACACATCCTGCCGGCAGAACGAAAAAGGTGCTAGCAGACAGCCAAATGGAGCAGCTACCTAAAGGTTACCTTTCCGAATTCCATTTCTAAGCTTGTTGTGTAAATTAAGTGTATCTGTTTGAAGCATTGATAATAAATGTGTGTAAACATGATACGGTGGCACTCAGTCTTAATGGTGCTTCCAAGAGATGGGTTGGGGATTTTATGAGAACTTTCCAACCCAATGAAAGTTATACCATACATGGGTACATAGATTTGATTCTGACAAAATAGGATTTTACAATCCTTAACATTCATCTCTTATATAAGAAAATATTACTTTAAAACGTTATAACATTTACAGCGCCATTTTTTCTTTAAAAACAATATTCATCCTCATCCTCATGAGTGATTTCCGGGAGGGATAGTATGTAACCCTGGTAAAATACTAGCTGCAACATACTGCTCGGCTAGAGAGAAAACTTCTCTTTAGCTTTAGTTGACCTCAGACTAGTAATCCAATTGTCCCAAGTTCAAATCCTTTGGAAAGCATTGAAATAAGTGATGACCTCTGTCACACATTTGTGTAAATGCAAATTAATAGTTTTTCTCAAAAGTCTTTTTTTATAGATCTGTAAGTCATGGCCATATTTTGATGAATCTTCCCTGATTTGAAAGATGTCTGACACTTCACAATCATATTTCCCTGACAGTATTTTATCATATCACTGCAGAATCTCCTGTATGCTGATGTTGGTAGTTTAATTTTCTTTAATCTCTCTATGTAGGATAAGTATTTTAGTCTTTGTTTCTTGATGTTTTCTGTCATTTCTATGTGCTTGACCAGACTTGATTTACATATTCAATATGTGGTCTAAGGAAAGATGTGTACAACAACTTCAAGCTCTCTAAGTTCATATACTCCTTTGTTCACCATGGAACAGCCATTATGGAATTAGCTGTATTAACTTTCTCACATACATATTTATCAAATGGTAATTAATTGTCTAAAATGATACCAATAATTTTTTTCAAAGTTCGCAAGTTCTGTAATACTTTTGGATTTTTTTCTTGATGGTGCTTTCGTGTTATTCAAGATACAAACAATTTCATCAATTTTTTTGGAGGTTTTAAACCCTTTCGAATGATCTTCGCATAACAATGTCAGGTAATTAAGGAGTAGGCCAACTCATTTTCTTTCATTAGTACCTAGACACATGTCATCTAAGAAATGATGCGACTTATATTCTGATGCAATTGATATGTGGATCACATAAAAAAGTTAAAGATTGGCTGTGCGGCTTACATACCAGAGTGGTTTATCACCCGGAAAATATGACAATTAGTCTCTCTCTAAAATCTGACATGAACAGATATGATTTGCAATTTTTATAAAAATCATACAACTATATTATTCACCCTTTTTGTTGTCTGTGCTGATTTCAAGTTATTCTCTATTGGAGTAACAAATTCATTATTTTAATTAGTAACTGTCACTCATATGCAAGACTATTACCCATTTGTGGGGTTGTGCCTAGTATTAACAACAATACCTAATTTATTGCATAAAGAGAAAAAATAGTTTTTACTAAAGCTCATTTGTATATCTATCTTTACTGAAGAGACATACATTATTTTATTTGTGAGTGAAAGAGAATTATGATAACAAATCCTGCCACTGTGCCATTTTTATACCATTGGTATTCAAGGCTGTACTTTCTGTTTTCCCGCTGGAGTACTGCTTCTAGTACTCAGGTCATCCAAAGAGGTATGCAAGGTCATCTATTATGGAAGGGAAGTAACTCTGTTCAGACTCTGCTTACTTAAGATTACCTTTCTTGCCAAGAGCATCACTCAAGCCAAGAGAGCTTTTATAACTGCTTGACATGAGAAGATGAACAGAATCATATATTGAAGTATTCAGCTCGGATCTATTTAGGCCCTTGGTAACTTGTCCATGGATATAACATGTAAACATATTCCCATACAATGAAGTATACATTTGCTGATGGTCACAGTGTGTAATAATCAGCAGTAATACAATCCTCTTAAACAGAAAAAAAAATTAAGCTATTTCCGTACTATATTCGCAGTTAATACTTACATTACCCTAAAAAAAAAAAAAAGTGTTTGCGTCCAGCCTTGCCACAGAGATATAATTTACTACACAGTGAAAAATCAGTTTCCCACCATGTAACTTTATATGTTTTCTCTAGACCTGAAGAATTAACACATTCTGTGTAATCAAATGTTCAGGCCGAACTCATCTTGTGCCATTCTTTGTGTAAGTTCAAATAGTCCATGCATTTTAGTTTGGGTTGGAGTAGAAGTCTGGATCTGGTACAAGTACTCTGACTAAGACTGTCATCATTGACTCTGTACTTGTACTGTAGACATATATATATATATATGATGCATACTTTGTTGTTGACAAAATAAATTTTGTAAAAGTCTACTTCTCTTGACCGGTTAATTGTATTTGAGCTACAATTATTATAAAGTATCCCCATATAATATATAGATAGGAAAAGACACTTTTTACTTTCTTAGTATTAAAACGAGCATGACCAAGTTTACAATTTGTAGTTGTGTAAAAAAGTTCCAAGTTGAAAATATATACAAAAACAACAATGTTGATGGTATGGATGTGTGTACCCCATTTTTATATACCAATATCATTACTTATAGGCCTAATTCTGAATTTTCTGAGCATGAAATCGAAGCTAGATATTTATTGAGTGCTATAGCCCAAAACGAAGTAATGTTTTTATTGTTACATACTTAATTAGCAGAACTTTCCCTTTTATATTTTTGATTAGTTGCCAGTTATACGACTATGTATGAATTATGGTATAAGTCACTAATAAAACTCACCTATTGAAATATCTACCTGTACACTTCATATTGCAATCAATAGCCAATATGAAAAATGTAAACAACATTAAATTTTACTTGTAGTTTTAAACGATCACAAGAGGGAGATAAGTAGCAGTGCATGAACAGACTACAAATTATGAAATATGATGAATATTAAATGTATTTTGTCTTCTATTCCAGTATTTCCCTTGAAGTGTGAAGTACAGAAATACCTGTGGGGTAAAGTAGGACACGATAGTGAGGTTGCTAAGCTGTATTTGAGTGCAGACCCAAAATTTGAAGTAGAGGAGAACACAACATATGCAGAGGTATTTAAAATTAATCTGTTGATCGGTTTATGAAACAGTTGTCACTAATGAGGTCAGTTTGTAAGAGTGATTCATTATCTTAACTATCTATTTATGTCAGTCTTATTTCTGTCTTGACATTTGCTGAAAATAGGCCATCCTCAATACCGTGGGGGTTTTGCTCACTAAAACATTTCATGACAAAATTGATGGTTCCACTTTGTGACTCCTTGCAGATAAAAAAAGTATTAATAATTTAAAGATATATATATATATATATCAATCCAACTATGTGTACTTTAACAATATTTTTTATCGATTATTTCATTTTTTGTTTTTAGGTCATCTGACCCGAAGGGTCCGATGACCTATAGTCATCATGCTTCGTCCGTCGTCGTCCGCCGTGCGCCGTCCGTAAACTTTTCATTCAAACGACTTCTTCTCAATAATTGGAAGGCCCAGGCAACTAATATTTGGCCTGTAGCTTGCTTTGATGAAGCCCTACCGAGTTTGTTAACAAGAATGACCTTGACCTTCATTCAAGGTCACAGGGGTCAAATGTCTTAAAATCTTCAAAGGACTTCTTCTCAGTAATCAAAAGGCCCAGGCAACTAAAATAAGGCCTGTAGCATGCTGGGATGAAGGACTACCAAGTTTGTTCAAATGAATGACCTTGACCCACTTTAAAGGTCACAGGGGTCAAATATGTTAAAATCTTTAAACAACTTCTTCTCAATAACCAAAAGGCTCAGATTGCTAATATTGTGCCTGTGGCATGCTGGGATGAAGGGCTATCAAGTTTGTTTAAATGAATGACCTTGAACAACTTTCAAGGTCACGGGTCAAATATGTCAAAATCTTTAAATAACTTCTTCTCAAATACTAGAAGGCCTAGGGGGCTAATACTTGGCCCATAGCATGCTGGCATGGAGCCCTACAAAGTTTGTTCAAATGAATACCTTATATATATATAAGCAAAAGTCTATGAGTGCCGATATTGGGTCTGTAGCATGCTGGGAGGAAAGGCTACCAAGTTTATTTAAATGAATGACCTTGAACAACTTTCAAGGTCGCAGGGGTCAAATATGTCAAAATCTTTAAATAACTTCTTCTCAAATACTAGAAGGCCTAGGGGGCTAATACTTGGCCCATAGCATGCTGGCATGGAGCCCTACAAAGTTTGTTCAAATGAATGACCTTGGCCCACTTTCAAGGTCACAGGGGTCAAATATGTTAAAATATACAAAGGACTTCTTCTCAACAAGCAAAAGTCCATGAGTGCTGATATTGGGCCTGTAAGATGCTTGGAGGAGAGGCTACCAAGTTTGTTCAAATGAATGACCTCAACCCACTTTCTAGGTTTGGCTTGCTTTTTGTCAGATGACCGTTAAGGCCCATGGGCCTCTTGTTTTTTTAAGCTATGGATGGGCACACATCCAAATGGTCCATCCAGGATAATTTCAAGCTCAGGAGACGCAGATATCGACTTAGGAGCATGGGTTCGGAAGAATTCTGATAGCATAGGAACAGAAATGGAAAAAAATAAGGACCTTTCATTCTTATTTAAAGTCCTTTCTGTCAAAACAGCACTATCCATTCAAGCACATCCAAATAAGGTTGGTTGCACTTTTCACATTTTTTTTTTCATTTTTGAAATACAAAGTGGAATCTTCTTGATGGAAATTTGATATTTTCTCATATACTATGACTTATTTGAAAAATACTTTTCCATGTATCATATATTCCTTATATAAATTAAGTTAAAAACGTTTATCATAACACATCATGAAAAACTTGTTTTTATATCTTTAATTTGAAAATAGACAATCATCATAAATGAGTTCCACTGTAGTTTTAATATTACAAAGCTAGTATGCTTTGTGTGGACCAACCGAGTTATGATAATTTTGTCAGAATACATAAATTCTTGCAATAAAAATCTAGCAAGATAACGATAATTTATTTTGATTTCAGGCATGTGGTAGTACACAATATATAACAAATAAATAACTTGTCAGAAATTACTGTTTAATAGGCTTTTTAAGAATTGTAAAACTATCTGATAGTAATTGCTCTCATTTTCAGGTTCTCGCTGAAAAGATACATAGGGAAGATCCCAAGGTTTATAAAGATCCGAACCACAAACCAGAAATGGCTATAGCCCTGACCCCCTTCCAGGGCCTCTGTGGGTTCAGACCTATTAAAGAAGTTGCTAAGTTTCTTAAATGTAAGATTTTTTTTCTGTAAATAAGCAAAAGGTTTTTAATATTTTCTTTGGTGTTAAACTTAATCAACATCTTCAATAAAGAAGTTAGCTGAAGTCAGTATGTAGAGTTGAAGGGCTCTGAAGTTTTACTCAAGTATGTTTCCTATACCCTCTGTCGAGGTCACATGGTTTGATTCTGTTAAAATCTTCCAAAAAATTTCTGGAATGAATGGCTTTTAAGTTACTTCAGATGAATGACCTTGAACTTCTATCATGGTCACAGGGTTGAAATGTGTTTAAATTTCCAATCAACTTCCTCTTTGGATTAACCAAAAGACTTGGAGACCTGATCTTTTGCTAGTAGCATGCTGGAGTAAAGGGCATTAAGATTTTAATTACCGTATTTATTCCAATAAACGCCCTGTCTCTAATAAACGCCCCCCCTACCTGTTTTCTCAGTAAATTTCAACAACTCAGGAGTCAGGTTACAAAGCTTACCTTTTAATAGATTTTAAATTCCTGGTATCCATGAACAAATGAATTTTGGCACAAGAAAATTACACTGTCACGACATGTACACAAGTAATATCAATTTAATCCATGGTTCATTTCAATATACTGCAGGCCTAACGGCCGGGACTGCCGTACGAACTGCTGTCTTCACTTTCACTTTCACTTTCGCCAGTCTCGCTTTCACTCAGTTCTATTTGTGGAATAGAAGGCGCGTTCACATCACCCATTAAATTTTGCAAAACGTCATCTGCAGCTTGGACATCCTTTTCACTAAACCCCTGGAATTCCTCATCGTCAGAATCATGCTGGAAAATATGATCCTCACTACCGTCCAGCGAATTTGTGATACCGCATTTTTAAACGATCTTTTGATTGTGTCCGGGCTAATGCTATCCCATGCTGTCTTGACCCAAGACAACATTACAGCTTTAGATGGGGCTTTACGATTCCCTGCTTTGGTTTTCTCAATGGGGCCACTGAAACACCATTCATCATACAACTCTCCAAGTTTTTGTTTGAAGGGTTTATTCCACGACACATCGGCTGGGTGTAGCTTACATGTACATCCTCCGGGTATAACACAGATGTCTGAATTATATTTTTGACGAACCAGTTTTTTTACATCTTCAGTAAGATGACCACAGAAAGCGTCTCTTTTTGAATTTAGAAAGCCATCCATATGAGGCTTTGAACGATTGACTACCATTTGCCTTATGCATACGCAGGGCCTCAAACCGCAATGCTTTCCCAGTCACTCGTGTTCCGGCCTTCCGTTTGTCCTGTAGCCATCTCATCAGATTTTTGTCAATATCTTCATATCTGACATGCCTCCCACCTCCTTTACAGCGTTTAGATGTTTTAGAAAGATTTTTTAATTTTTCTTTGTTTTGACACCAGTCCTGCACTCGTTTTCTGTCAACACGAAACACTTTCGCGGTGGCATGTTTACCCTTCTCCTCTGCAAAGGTGATTACTTTAAGCTTGAAAGCAGTGTCGTAATTTCGTTTTGTCCCAGACATTGTTATCAGGAATGTGGGATTTATTAAGAAACAGACTGGCTTATATACCACTGTGTTTTTTTATTTTGTTATGTAAACTAGGCCTACAAGCGATGATGAACATTGTACGTTTTTGACTGAAGCTGACACGATTGACATCGTGTCATTTCATACAAGAATTCAGGTTATCAGAATGTAATTGACAACAACGTTTACAGCTACAATGATGTTGGAATTACTGCAATTTTCAAATGCATTCTTTGCTGAGTAATTCGTTAGTTTGTTAAACAAAGTTTTTAAGTGGCAGCCATGGCATGTCACGACCAACAAATTATGAAATTTTGTGTTCTATTAATCGCCCCCTGTCTGAAAAATTTCATGCCCCCAGGGCGTTTATTGGAATAAATACGGTACATAGCTTGGGCCACCGTAAGCATCACACAGAAGTCAAATGTGTTAAAGGTATTCAGATAACTTAGATGAATCTAAATTTAATTTATTTTACAACACTTTATTCCAACTGATGATAATCACTCTCGTTCACTTTAATGGAATTGTGCTAGAGATTTTACTGTGGGAGGAACACAGAGTACCAGGGGAAAACCCTCATGGTCAGGCAGGTGACCCTTATATCATTTCACATCCAATCAGGGAATCAAATCCTGGTTGCCTAGGTGAATGGCAAGTGTGTCACCACTGACCGTGCTCCCATAACAATTTATTCAGTTTTATTTTTTTTATAATTAATTTTGATTTATTCAGTTTTATGGTCACCGGATTATATGGTTTCACCTGCAGTTTAATTTGAAAAAGTATTAAGTAAGCATGAAAATTTCCCAAATTTACTAATTTAGTACTTTTTCAACAAATCTTCTCTTTTTGAGCTACAGAGAAGATGAAAATTGTTTGTTTGTTTCATCTTTTTCTTGATTAGTGACATCTAATGTCAATGATCTTCATAATCAAAGTGGTGTAAGGTTATTTTAAATGGTCATAAAAATGACTGAGACTTTAGAGTCTGTTTTGTTGTTTGGTTTTTATATTTGTATAAAGTACGATGATGTTTCATGCTAATTTGTTTTCTCATTTTTGTGTAGTAAGATGCTGTTTTATAAAACATTGGTCATCTGTAGTTTTAATTCTAGCCTTTTTCACAACACAATGTGATCAATAGATGCTTGACCTAATTAAATCTGTGTATTCTGTATCAACTTTCAAACGTCAAATATTTTCATATTAGTTTGTTTCTTGTTTTCAGACATTGAAGAGTTCCGTACTGCAGTTGGTGGTCAGCATGTTGTGAAGCTGCTCTCATCAAGTAATTGTGTAGACCAGGCTCTTCAGAAAGAGGCCATGAAGGACTGTTTCACAGGCCTTATGAACCAGAAAAAGGAAGTGATCCATGCCCAGCTCAGCAGTCTAGTTAACCATGTTACAGAGCTTGGTAGGCTGCTTTAAATATATGTTTTGGTTGTAGTTGAACTTAAAAAAATACAATGCAAACACAGGCTGGGTAGAGCTTAATGTAATGTTCAGCAGAATGGGCTTGAAAATGATTATCGAATAACTAACTGGGTCACTCTCTTCAGATGGAATTTTTCATAAAACGTCTTCCTGTATTTATTACAGGAAATGTTTTATAATTTTTAAAGGAAACACATAGTTTTAAAAATTTTCAAAAAGAAAAAGAAAAACACACACACATACACAAAGAGATAGATATATATTATGTTTCATTCTGATGTATTTGGCAAAAGTGCATTAAACTTAACAATTTTCAGTTTCAAGTTTAAAATCTATGTATGTAAAGTTTTGGAATAAAGATATCAGACATTAGGATGCTTTTACACGATTTACAAAAATAGAAATAGATTAGATGGATGATTTTTCATTATTTTCTTTTTTTTAATCACCATTTGTAGAAAAAGAGGGCAAAGATACCAGCATGTATGAGGCAGATGTTCTACTGAAAGTAAATAAAGAATTCCCAGGTGATGTGGGTTGTTTTGCCATCTACTTCCTCAATGTCGTCAATTTGAAGCCAGGAGAGGCGATGTTTCTGCGTGCTAGCTTGCCACATGCCTATCTCTCTGGAGGTAAGATCCACTAGAATTGAAAGAACAGATTAGAGCTGGTAAAACACTAATGATAAGGGGATCAGAAATACTGTATTTTTCAATACCATGCAATTATCCATCTTAGCTCTAGCAGAGAATATTTTTCAAAGCACCTAGTAATAGGTTATTTCAATAATGTTGTTGTTTACTGCCTGTTTTTTACTGCATGTTTCCAGATAATATAAGGTGTAAAACACATGTAAAAGCTTTCAAATTCCTTACATTCCTTACATATTTTAGACTGTATAGAGTGTATGGCATGCTCGGACAACACAATCAGGGCAGGCCTAACACCAAAGTTCCGCGATGTTAAACTCTTGTGTGAGATGTTGGACTACGCCAGCCTCTCTGTAGCTCAAGCGAAGTTTAGACCCATTCAGCGAGGAAATGTGACTTACTATAAACCGGACATTGAAGATTTCATGGTGACCAAGGTTGAGGTAAAAAAAATTTCATTGGAGTCATGTTAGATTTATGTACCCCTTACATTTAAATATTTTCTTGTTTTTGCTGGTTTTATGTAGACCTAATTTAATTTCGTTTCCATTCAAACAGAGATACATGTGTTTAAATTACCAACATTTTTTAATATCTAACAAAATGTAAAATCTGCACTTTTGAAGTTACCCAATCTTGATGTCAATGCGGGGGAAAAAAAAGGAAAAATCATGATTTTGGAGATGGTGTTAGCTGATATGGATTAGAATGGTCTTATCCCTACAGTTTGTGATGGTTATGGTGGTATATTGTGACTGACATCTGTAAAGTGCAGAGAATAAATTTTTTGGACACATAAAAATATATATTATATATTCATGTCCCCCAAACGAAGTGGGGGACATATTGTGTTTGCTCCGTTTCTTCTTCTTATTATTATTGTTTATATTATTCTTATTTCTTCCACTTTCTTCAGCCGGCAAGGTTTCCGACACGTTTCTCAAAAACTATTGCATGGAATTTAACAAAACTTTACACACATATTCATACATGCGAGGCGGAGTGCAGGCCACTTGAATTTTTCCAATCGGTCATCTGAGCAGTCAGCTGTGGTCAAAATTTGGCCAAATTTTAGATATTGTCGGATTTTCGTGAAAATTGGTATATATGTATTAGGTGGCACTAGGAGCAAAATGGCATAGTCCATTTTTCATTCGGCCATCGATCGGTCATCTGAACAGTCAGCTGTGGTCAAAATTTGGCCAAATTTGAGATATTGTCTGATTTTCATGAAAATTGGTATATATGTATTAGGTGGCACTAGGAGCAAAATGGCATAGTCCATTTTTCATTCGGCCATCGATCGGTCATCTGAGCAGTCAGCTGTGGTCAAAATTTGGCCAAATTTAAGATATTGTCTGATTTTCGTGAAAATTGGTATATATGTATTAAGTGGCACTATAGGAGCAAAATGGCGTAGTCCATGTTTGGCATGACTGCAGGTCTGATTACTGTTAGCATTTACTGCTGAAGGGGTCGTTTGGGGGATATTTGTAATGGTCCACATAAGCTTGCTATGGATAGCCCCTTTTTTTACAAACATTGTCTTGTTAATTCTTTTATAAGAAATATGTCTAGGGCATGTCCATATACTTAAGTTATAACACATGTGATTTTGTTACCAGGTGCCTGCAGACACCACAAGTGGAATACTACAATGTATAGACAGCGCCAGCATCTGTATCGTCATCCAAGGTGAAGGACAAGCATCGTCTTGTTCATTGGTCAGCCCGTTAGACTTGAACAGGGGATTTGTGTTCTTTATTGCTGCTAATGAAGAAGTTCATCTTACAGTCAGCTCACAAGGAATGCTGGTGTTTCGGGCTTCATACAGCGTCAAAATACCATCAGCCTAATCAACGGCACCAGATACAGCACAACCAGAGGGATTGAAATATTTGGCCAAGGGGGATTAGATATGTTAGGATTTAGGAAGTAGGTCGAGTCTTACTATATATACCATCAGATTTTAGTTTTTTAGGTAATGGTGGGGGACCTTTAGATATTTACCAGGTTTTGAGTTAAGATTTTAACATGCATTTAAAAATGACAAATTTTTGCCTGAATTCAGATAACAGGCGGCATTTCTCAAGATTTGGTGTGGTGCTGACAGGCAAAAACCAACAAAAAAACACCACCCAAAGAAAAAAGCTGTTGTAGTATTTTATTCATTTCTAAGAAATTGAAATTAGGTGGTATCGACACACAGCAAAGGTATAAGTAGTTCTTTATATTAATTAGTTCCAACTTTTTTCTAGTTCAGTTCATAAGATATACTTATATTGTAGGTCTGCAGTGTTTCTGGTAGCAATTACATCGGTAGATAAGGACTATTTCAAATATGATTTATGATATAGGGGTGTTATGTCTGACATTATTATTTATGTAGTTAGTAACAAAAAACACTTCCCCCTTTGTATGTTTGTCTATGGAATATCCTTCATGGATATTGGTTGGGAAATGCTCTTGTTTGATTTCAGCCTATAATGTTGATGTATTGTATAGAGATGTACAAGATAACTGGTGCGATTTGGTTGTTTTGAAATTATATTTTACTTGCAAAATATGTGTTATCTGCAGGCAATATCTGTGTTTGCATTGACTAGCTGTAGTAAATTACTAATTATTTTCCACAGATTTCATATTTTTGAATAACACTTTTTATGCTCTCACCTTTCTAAAAAGGGATGGTGGGGTATATGTAGTGGTACTCATGTCCATTCGCCCTGTTCAATTCCAAATCAATGTCATAGCTTGAGAATTTTCAAATAGATTTGGATTATATTTAACTCACAGTATCATGACAGCATGTTCAATTCCTTGGTGTACTATGTCGGTCAATATTTACTGGTCATTGACAACTAATTTATCAATTTATTAATTTATTTTTTCATATTAAGTTGTTTTACTGCTAGTTTTGCATTCAAAATGAATCAAGAATATGACAGTAGATTCATCAAAACAAAACGATATACTCCTAGTAATAGATATAATATTGTGGTTCTTTGTGTGAATAAACATTAGCGGGATATATTATTAGCAATCACTGTTTAAATAGCAGGTCGCTAGCATAAAAAACCCAAGATGTATATAACCTGTGACATGTGGACCTACAATGTTTATTTAAAAAAATTTCTATCTGATATGTATGTTACAAATTTACTACAGGTATTACCTGTGACATGTGGACCTACAATGTTTAATTAAAAAATCTATCTGATATGTATGTTACAGATTTACTACAGGTATTACCTGTGACACGTGGACCTTCAATGTTTAATTAAAAAATCTATCTGATATGTATGTTACAGATTTACTACAGGTATTACCTGTGACACGTGGACCTACAGTGTTAAATTTTAAAACCTTCTATCTGATATGTATGTTACAAATTTTACTACAGGTAGATTAATTCATCATTTTGACATCACTTGATGTGAAGTTTTGGAAATTTTATATCTTATATTAATTTTGTCTCGTCAAACGTTTCACTTAATGATCATTTAAAACAGTTGAATCAAGTTTTGAATTTTATTTAACTATTTAACTATAATCATAATTTTAATTGTACTGGCTTCTACTTTCGGTTTCATATGATTTTCAACCATACTACATAAAAGCATTTAAGAGTGAAAAGAGACTTTCTTTGACTGTAGCATAATAGATTTTGAAACAATATTTGATTTGGGTCCAAAACTTAATTGTATCTCGCTCAGTGAATTTGACAGAAGTAATAAATTAGGCTCCAATCATCCATGGATGTTGCTGAACTTGGGTTACAGATGCTGCATTTGACTTATATTTCATGCTTCAGTGATTTATAAAAAATCTTGGTAAGAAGAATTATGCAGTCACTATCTGTGAAACCATTGGCGTTACTTGAATAATACTTGTATTGATGTAACTTACAATTTTTCTTTCCTACAAAATTTTGATGCAATAGTTCACTGTATCTGTAAATTACTAGAGTGTACTACATTGTAATGTGTGTTTGAAAACTTGTTTCCCGAGCAGGCAATTTCAAAAAACATATCTTATTTTTAATTGTGAAAAGAATAAAAATCACTCTTGTTGGTCACAATTCAAATATGCATATTTTAGTTTTGATCTGGCAGAGTTTAAAACACCCGAAGGAAAATCCACATGGGTAAATAGTTATCTTGATGTCTTTTTATGTTCATGCAGGGAATCAAACCGAGGTCATCTTGATGAACAACATGTTTGTGTATTATTCACCATTTTCACCACCAAATAACGTGTGTACGATAGAGCTTGTTAAAAAGTACACTGCTAAATGTAGTGTAGTTGTGATAACATTTCATTACAAACAGCAATTTTGACAAAATTGCAATCAAACTACAGGTATGTTTACCTCCACTGTGTAAAATGGCCAAACTGTTCTTTGTTCAGGAAGTCTATGTATGTAAACAGGACTGTTTTTTTATGTGTTGGAATTGTATATTTGTTGGTTGATATCTGTTATGTATATTACTAAAATCTTTTAGGTTTTAATGTTACTAACATCTTTTAAAACAAAGTTTTTGTCATCAATGTTTGAATAATCCCATCAAATTGATATTGGAGATGGATCTCTGACACGTGTATGACTCATACTTTTGCAAACTGTATAAAAAAATTTTCAAATTTTATTATGAAGTTGATTTTTAAACTAACGTCACTCTGACACAATGTAATCATGTTTTCTTCACTGGAATTCTGACATTTTTTATATCATTTTAAGATCAATGAGTGGGAAGTCTGTTCAATTCCTTAATAATTTATTATCCACTAATAATCCTCAAATTGTAGATTTTTGAAAGTTAGGCCCTGAAAATGGCATATTTCTCAATGAAACAGTTTGTTAATTGGGACCATTGCACTAGAGTAGTCTGATAGAATATAACTACTAATAATTACATTAACAGGTGCTTGTTTATATACAAGAGAAAAATAAATAGCTGTAACATACTAATAAACATATTGTACTCAAACTTTATATCCTATTTTACTGGTTTAAAGTCCCAGGGGAAGAGCTACAATCTACATATACTAAATTAATATTCATGAATTGTCATTCCGTTATGTAAAAATGTATACTTAAACAAGACCTTTTTGTACTGAGTTTTGTTTATTCAAATTAAGACACAATTTTAATGATCTCTTTAATTCTTAGAAATCCTGTGTAAGAGAAATATACTTTCAGTTAATGTTACCAGGGAGCATGACCATTATTATCTACATGTTTTTGTCATTGTCCCATCTTTATGGTAGACAAGTGGGAGAAATAGGTCTTCACAAGAAAATGCTTTAGTCAGTAGACGGCAAACCTACATGGCAGTGTTACCAACTGATTCTGTCTGGTCAACCTGACTTTGGCAATATCATAACCTGATACATATTAAGAAATGCTTCAGTCATCCAATATTGCTTCAATCACCCAATATTCTTTTATGTTTGATCAGTATTTACAAACTTCAAAATAAAGTTTTCGGTCAGATATAGTTTAAATTGTCTTTAAACATAACATGAAACATTATCTAAATACATACTGGTGTGATAACTATACATTAGAACAGATCGTGGGTCCATCTTTGTAGACAGCTCTTTAACACACCCTTCACCTCTGGTCGAAGGGATAGGATCACATGACTGAGGAGGTTGGTGACACTGACTCTTTAAAGTGATTACCTGTTCATATACATTACTGCACAACATCATCATGTACAAGATTTCTGTAAAAATTTGACTTATTTCTTTGTTAATCATGTTCAGGACCTGTGGATAGAAAATAATTTTCCATTTGCAACCTAAACCATTCCATAATAGAATCTACTGTCAAAATCAGAGACCCAATAAAGTTATGTGCAGTAGAACCTCGTAATCTGGAAGTCGGCAGTTTAAGTAAGTTAAAATATTAGGTGTGAAGTTTGGCAGAGGCCGACTAAATTCCTCAAATTTTACAGTGGCTATAAGTTATAAGAGTCTGAGTTAATGAGGTTCAACTGTTTGTGAAATGAAAGGAAAATATGTATTATTGGGTTGGGGTCAAATGGAAATCGTATTTTCTTTCTGGTCGATATCAATCATAACAACAACAGTATCAAGTATGCTGTGCTCTCTTCTCTAGTTTTTCTTTTCTTTTTTCATATGTGTTGGTTTTTTCAGACCAAAGTGTAATGTGGAAATGTCCAATATGATTGATGACATTACGACATGATACTGTTGTAATCTATGCAATTAGAAGACAGTCGAAGGGATAATGTATTATTGTTGCAAATTTTAAATGTTGTTTATAAAGATATGAAGTGTCAGCTTCATAATTAGCTAGATTCATGATGATTCAGATTGATTTGGTGTGGATACTAATGTCTGCTGAAGAAATGTTCCTCTCTCTCTCTCCTGTTGAACTGATTTTGTGTATACACTTTGTTCTTAAAGGCTTGGATCTGTTTTGTTTACATGTTTTTGTTTATATTGTATATTACCATACGAGTATAATAAACTGGAATGTGTACAAGGTGAATTGAAGTTTATTTATTTATTTATTTCATTTATTTATTTATTTATTTAGAGGTTCATGTATTTGTTTGCTGGGTTTTTCACCCCATGAAGAGCTGGATCATATTGAGACAGAGTCTGCTTGTAGTTGCCGCAAGTGGTGGCAACCTCACTGAACAACATACAGGAGGCCCATTACATGTTGTCCAGAGGAATTAAGGTAAAGTGTTTTACCCATGGACATCACCATGTCAGTACAAATCAGTACGTTTTCTGAGAAATACAAACCGCCAGGGTTAGGGAGCTGGAACCATGTACCGGCATCTTCATCAGAGGTTATGTAGGACAATGCATTGACTGTTTGAGCTATCAGGGCCCCTAGGAGTAGATGTAGTAATGATGTTTAATCCATTAAGGTAAAAGGAATAGAATATAACTTGTGAGGTATTTTACTTGTTTCTATGGTAACAGAAGTCAAAAATGAAATTTCGTCAATATTAAAAGGATCTAGTAAGGCCTGCTATAAATACACAGTTTTGTCGCGATCCTTTAAACGGTTGGTGTATGGGAAAATCTTTCAGAGAGGGAAATTTGCGTTCCTTATTTTTACTGTTTCCGCAGTAGAAAAAAAACGATGTCAGAAACTCAATCTCGCCAATAAGCAAAGGTACACCTAGTATACCAGTGTGATAAGTGTACAAAGCTTAGTAGAGATCGGTTAAATGGTTTTCCAGTTGTAGCTGGAGAAATCTTGAATTTAATATTTTTATCTTTAATCGTTTCTATGGTAACGAAAAAATATTACCAATGAAATCTCGCAAACTTTAAAAATGCTTAGTCAGCTGTATTGGAAATAATTTAGTTCTAGTACTAGAGAATGTGTACTTTTCCGGAACATGTGGTTCTGCCGCGAGGAAATAGACTCGAAACGTGACGATTTGCCATCCGGAACATCAAGCAATGTAACTCAGAAATCCACGTTCTACCAGAACTGTTTGCCACCAAGAAATGTGTAATGGCCCGGAACACCATGCTTCACCATGTTTGAATATTGTCTCTTTGTTGAAAGATTTCATGAAGCTTGCCGCTTGATTTCGTTTTGGACGTTTCTTCTTCAACCCCTACTTTCATTTGCAAAGCATGATGACGCCATTGGAAACTCGTCCCTTCCCCCTCCATGCCACACCGCACCATTTCCTTCAAAATACTTGATCCTTTCAGTATTTGATGCTTTAAATGTATGGGGACTATAATTAGAAATATTATTAACGAAAATGTACTAAATTTCAAAACGATACCCGCTCAACTATCCTTTAGTTCTTGAGAACAATTGGAGGAAGAATCAAAAATATTTTTTGTGATCGTTGTGAAAACCGGTTACCTGGTCATCGTGTTTACACAGAGATAAAAAAAAAAAAAAGCGAAACGAAAAAAAAAACTCAAAGATGATAATTAAGCTAATATTTATCTACAGGTTTACTTGTCCTTTCGCCTCTTGCTGACATTTCTTATTCCGAACAAGCGTAATATGTTGAGAGCTCCAGACAAAATTATGACGGACGGACGGACGGACAAAAATCGGCGACACACAATGTTACAAAATATACCACATTATCAACACACAAGGACAAACTGTACCTCGAAATGAGGCTAAACCTTCCGGTGTTTCAGAGGTATGGCTTTTCATCAAGATAAGCTCGATTATTCACTTGGAACTAATTAGATGAGTTCCAAGCAGCATCGGTTACCCGGAACGCACGATAGAACTTTGAAATTTTATTACATTGTGACCCCAAAAGACTCCTCGATGACGCAAGATCGATCGTCAGATACGTCAGAATACGTTGAACTGTCATACCATTGGGGATATCACCATTAACGTTATTAAGGCCCCTTATTTGTGCGTTGGCTTTAACTTTACATCCTATAACCTAACAAGTGATATTCTCAATATTTGACAGAGCTGCACCTTGTCACTTTCATTTACACTTATATAACAATATCAACGAATAGTGGTTTCGGATTCATTTTAAACACAAGTAGACGTATGCTTAAACAATGAATGAAATGGCCTTGTCAAAGACGTGAGAAAGTATGCGGACCCTTCATCTTGATTCAGAACTGATCGTTTTTACTCACCACACGTGACTTAATGTCGTCTTTGATATTTTGCCCGTCCTTAATCTTATATTACTGTAAGATTATTATATATTTTTTTAAATAAAATTACTTTTCAACTCAATCTGAATTTTTAAAATCCTTTGAGAAATTGAATTTGAATGAATACATATAACACTATATGCATATCACTTTGTGAGAGTGAAGATTCCTGCTCTGTTCACGGTCTAGTACTTTAATGACATATATAAAGAGGTATGACTATATTTGTGATATAAATTCGAAATCGATATGCTTTTTTTTTGCCTACATTTATCATTCTGTACATGCAATTACGTTTTCTTCGAACAATGATTATTAATCGTGATTATTGAACCGGGAAATATCAATGTCTACCTATGAAATGGCACGACAATAGAGAGGATGTAATATCTTTCCCTTTCAGCTATTGGTTGTTAATATTTAAACAAAATATACACAGGTGAGATATATGCGGTAACTTTTACTGAAATATTGATATGTTTCTGTACCTTTCCACAATGAAGCCGACCTGTATTCAATTTTTCATGGGTACTCGAATTGGAGTTGTTTATCAACAAACCAAGGACATTTTTTTATCCATGTCACTGTCTTTCGGTTTTATAGATTCCTCAGATAAAAATGATGAGAACATCCTGGTAGCCGGGTACGAGTTAGTTAGTCAGTCTGTTTGTTAATTAGTTTGTTAGTTAGTTACAGGTTTTCTGATCACGCGACTCCTCGCTGTCGGGTAACGTATCAGCGTTGAACGTCAGTCTCCTGACAACGTGGTCTCGATGATAAGTGTACAACTTGTGTTTTTTTAAAACAAATTCTTGGAGACGTCGACGAAACATTGATGCATTCTAGAACACCAAATTATTTACATTAGCACAATCGTAGTTCATCCAATTATACACACTGATGCATCATCATTGTCACCTCCATTCGACCCATTTACACATCACCCTTGTTCACCAAATTAAACATGTTGACACGCTGTTCTTGTTCTTCCCATTAAAACACTGGCACATCGTCCATGTTCCGCTCATTAAAACATTGGCACATCGTCCTTGTTCTTCCCATTAAAACATTGGCACATCGTCCTTGTTCTTCCCATTAAAACATTGGCACATCGTCCGTGTTCTTCACATTAAAACACATCAAACCAATCCAACCCCGCACCAACAGACTCCAGACATCAAACCCGTCCAACCCTGCACCACCAGACTCCAGACATCAAACCCGTCCAACCCCGCACCACCAGACCCCAGACATCAAACCCGCCCATCCCTGCACCACCAGACTCCAGACATCAAACCCGTCCAACCCTGCACCACCAGATTCCAGACATCAAGTCCGTCCAACCCTGCACCACCAGACTCCAGACATCAAACCCGTCCAACCCTGCACCACCAGACTCCAGACATCAAACCCGTCCAACCCTGCACCACCAGACTCCAGACATCAAACCCATCCAACCCTGCACCATCAGACTCCAGACATCAAACTCATCCAACCCCGCACCACCAAATGTAACGTTTTCGAATTAGATATTTATAACGACCATAAAAACATCTTTATAACCTTTTTCAACATGCACTCCTGAAACACTGTGTTGTGATATACCCTTTCTGTGGAAATCGTGTGCTATTAACAAGCTATAAAAAACACGAAATCATCATGTTTGTCATACAGTTTTGTGGAAAGCTGTCAACGTTAGTTTCGTTGTAGGAAAAGATCGAGGAAAAAGGCTAAAGTAAAAGAGATTGTCATGGCATTGGTTTCCAAATCAGATTAATATAAATACCTTTAACATGTCAGTAAGTTTCTTATTATTTAAAAACACGACACCATAAATATCAGTGACATCTAAGGATTTGGTATTGACTTTGTGACCTGTTTTGACAATCTCCTCAAACAAATACTCTTATGATAAAAAAGTCAGCAAAAAGAGGAGCAAATGCAGTTTGTTGAAAATTCGACATTATTAACGATTCCCTTCTCACAACTCTACTTACTAATTAAATGTTTGGAAACGATCGAATTTTCACATAGTACGACCTCGTATATCTAATTTCTGAACGATTCACTAAACTCTCTCGGTGGTTTTAAAACCGAGGTATCCCAATAATTATGTGTCTTCCACGCATCTACTTACGTTATTTTAATTATGATTGTTAGTGTTAAACCTGGAATTCAGAATTATGTATAAGACTTTCTTGTACTCAAAATGCATTATGCAACTTAGTGTTAATGGCTTGTATGACTTCAGGGATTTGAGAAGATCCCTGAATAATTTGCGTTTGCATGCATGAATCTGCAATAAAGACACGCTATTGGTTAGCTCATTTCTTTGATAATTAAGTCAACTGATATCAAGACTTATTATCATTATTGTAATGACTAGCCAGTATTTTTCATGCAGAAGGATTTTAATTGTTATCGAACAAGCTTCTTTTTGTATGCAAGAAATTTAAATAATATCTGCAGACAAAGATCAAGTTATTGAACGCCTTATAGGCAGGCACAATAACCTACCTGTCCCGTTAATTGTGAAGTGTGAATTTAAAATCGGGATCAAGGAATACACACTTCCCTTTGTTTACATCTTTTTATTTCAAGTTGCTATTTCTCTTAGGAATGGGAGGCCGAATTGATTTGATCCACTCTGAGAATGAGGTGAACACAACCGAAAAAGGTAATGCCACGCCACGTTTCCAAATGAGAACAAAGAAACAACAAAAAGAACAAAACAAATAAATAAATAAACAATGAAGATACGAGTTCGAGTTATCTAAAGACAATATCAGTAAAACTGAAGGACTTGACAAGGTCTCTTCTTGTCTTTCAATATAACTGTCAACAATGCACGTACAAAAATATAAC